AAGTTAGGCGCGGTTCAGACGCCGAACTTTTCATGAGCCGAACCTAATTCGAATTAAAGCCAACCCGAATTATTAAGACCAGTTGAATTGATTCAGACGCCGATCTTAATTGCAGCTGAAGTAAGTTCAAATGCGAACAATGCTCATTTCGGTCAAACTGCCTACAAAATACGTTAGGGTAATTTATGCATTAGGTTCGGAACATAAAAAGTTCGGCGTCCGAATCAAAGCCGTTCCAAAGTCGTTCCAAAGGCGAAATTCGTGGCCGAGCTAGGCGAAAAGAACGGCTGAGCCGTTCCAAATTGAAACAGGTGTTCCTAATTGATTCAGAAACCCAACTTTTCATGTACTTAATTCAGTGAATTAGGTTCGGCTCATGAAAAGTTCGGCGCCTGAACCGGGCCTAAGTGACGTCATAGTTTGTACCAAAAGCAGCGACAGCGAAGTAGCTTTGGAGTAATTGAGATTTAAACTGATTAAGAGAAGTAAGAGTATGAGTGGATTCGGGTACTGGTTCTGGTTTTCCAGAGTTTAGCAATACGGTCAAAGTAAGTAAATTGAAAGAGCGTTGTGCGGCACTCGGAAATTTGTAAGTCTTGATCAAAGCTGTGGCGAGTGAGACGAGTGCCTCTAGGCTTGGCGTAATCATCTATGGGTAAGGAGTAGTGGCCAGCGCGACACTTGAAGTATGTAAATTGGCTCTTTTACGTCAGCCAGTATGTTAACGGCAGCAGATTGAGTCGAGAAAGGCGCTCATAATAAGAAATATCGTCCTTCCATTGCGTGTTTAAGGTGAATTTTGTTGCCCTGCATTGAAGACTTTCTATTATTGATATAGTGCCTATCGTACTGGGAGCCCATACCTCATTAGCATAACCAATAATGCGAGCATCTTATTTGCCGTAGCTAAAATACTGTTAATGTGAGTGTCCCATGTGAGGCCCAGCGAGATAGTCACTCCGAGGTCTTTTACATGAGTGACGTGTTTAAGTGAGTTGTTGTTAGTATAGGTAATCACATGATTTCGAGTGCAATTTGGAATAAATAAGCACGAGTAAATTTTCAAAGACCAACGAAGAACTAAGAACTTGGAAATGTGCAAGGATTGATTTTCGCATGGTCAGAGGCCTGTTAAAGATAACTCGGTTTACAATAATCAGCATTGTAAGTGTTTTCACATTCATCCTCGATTATGAGAGCTCGGCGTTTACAAGAAGCATTTACTGCCGTCTTGAAATCAGGAGAACGCTTCGAACAGCCAAAGGTGAAAGACACTTGCTACGGTTTTTTTAACGACTGTTCATCATTGTCTGTTCCTGAGACCACATCATAGCTGGATTCATGGAGAAATTAGATTTAAAACCCGAAAATGAAGGAGGCAATTTGTTTTCTTCCGACGCTGTCATCAATGGGTGAGTGGAGCCACAGTTGTTGTGATGTCGGAAACTGCCAGTATTAATATAATATTTGCTTTTTCTCAGCACTGGGGTTTTCATTATTTCATTTAGCTACTGCAAGAGCTCGAAGCTCTTCTTCGTCGGTTTCATCGTAGTCGTTAAGGAAGTTTATACCTCTGTGGCCTGTGACATTGGCGATATGTTCTGAACTTACAATCTTGGCTTTCTTCAGCTTCCTGACTGTTGTTTTTCTCGCACAAGATTCGTAAACTTTTTTCTCACTTTCTTTAAGGCTAGTACCAGCTACGGATACTTCCATTATGCTAGTTATGGTATTTTCGCCGATTGGTTTAGTTTGAAGCAGATGTTTAAATTTTCGGCTTCGTTTGCTACTGAGGTAAAAAAAAACAGACCATCTTATGGATGTTTTAGTAGAGGTCTTCGCTCCACAAAAGACTTAAAGAGAGCAACCGGACACCTTTCTTCTCCAACAATTAACGTACGTGACTCGAAATCCCTGTTGTTATCATGGAAAACTTGTATCATTTAAATGTCTGAAAAGTGTAGCTGTCATGGTTTGCCTGTGGTTGTCAACGTGTTTGTTCTTTATTTTTTTACTTTAGCGTAGTTTGTTATAAGTATCTTGTTTTTTAGTTTCTCTGGCTCATTTTCCTCGATTTTGTTGACAGTATTTTTCTCTTAGCACCGCAATTTCAATACATTTGGCCTCAAAGACGTACTTTTTACCATGTTCGGGTTTTTGAAATATTTTGTTAACTTTCTATTGTTGTTTTGCGTACAAAATTATATCCCGTCGCCGTCTGCTGAAAACTATTGCCATTTTCTTAAATTTTGTTTTTAAAACAACTCTAATCTGATTGGTTCTTGTGGTTTCTATTGTGTTTTCAGCCAATCAGAAAGCATTTGTAATTTGCACTCGTGTTACATGTTTTGCTCTCGTGTTACAGAAGAGCTCCACTCCTTTCTCAGCCAATCAGAATTGAGTAATGTTTTCGTGTATATTATTAAACTTGTAATCGTAGCGAAGTGGATGGTGCTTGCGTGTGACGGTTAGTACCTCACATTTAGAGGTCTTTAACGTTAGGTACTTATCATCGCTTTAGCACTGCAGACTATCCAGGTCCTCTTGGAGTGACCCACAGTCTTCTAGAATTTCAATGACACTGGAACATTATGAGTCATCTGCGAAGTGCGCGATACGATTCATCCATCAGTGGTTTTGCATGCTAATTCTGAGATTTCCTGACTTTTTTACCCTTGACTTCATCCTAGAATCCTTGACATTACCCCCCACGAGGGGTGGAAGGTCGAAAAGGGGCAATTTCCAGGAGTTTTGGGGGGAAGGCTTCTCAAGGTCATTTTCCGGAGGATCCCGGTAAGATTGGTGGGTTATTACAAAAAACTAAGCTCTTGCTTTGTCGAGCAAGCTATCTGTTATCTGTTCACCGGTGATTCAAAGCAAGGAAATTTTTTTTCATCGATGATCCTTTATTTACGAGTGCCTGAATTCTTTTTCTATGGCTTACACGATAGTATATTTCGTACAATTGTCATCGTCTCATGAACAAACTTTCGGTTATCTCTTTAACACAATACATTGTTATATTCTCCGTAATGTCGTCGTGTTCTTAGACTTCTTCTAAGATGTTTTTTTTCTTACTGAAAGGAAGTAATTGAAGTTCACAAGGTGTTTAGTGTTTACAGAGAGCATAATTTGTGGCCTGCAAGGTATCGCCTCCATGGTTCGCAAGGACTTACCGTTAATTATTAACTGAGAAAGAACTCTACAAGGCAAATTGACTTAATTTATTGGATACTGTATTAACATGAATAAAAAGATTGTTTCTCTCCTTATCGCGAAAACTATTATCTTTTGCAAAATGGTATAGTGCAACAGCATTTTTGACTGAACTATTCTTTCCAGGGGAGTACCGAATCGAGTTAGAAGCTGACTAAGGAAATTTTAGCGGGTAGGGGGGTATAACAAGCACCCCTGGAATGAAAATATCAGGAGGCTGGGGGTCCAAAGCGAAAGTGCCCTTCGTGGGGGAGGTATGGACATTTTCTGGAACTTCACAAATTCAAGTTAAGTCTTGGTGTATCTGTTTGCATTTATTAATATTTTTTTATAACTCATCCTGCATAAAAAGCAATAGCTTGAGTACTTAAAACACAAGAGTGTAGTCACTGAAGTACAAACTACTGCACGACTAAACAAGAGTTTAGTGGTTTCTTTGCAAAGCATCATTTTATTTAGATACACCGCTAAGAAAGAACTTGTCCTATCACATAATTTTGCGTTCTTGGTAAATTGGACTGATTTGTTTCGTTATTTGAAACCCTTACAGAGAAAGGGCAAGATCTGCTTAAAGGAAAATTGGAAACGGTAGTAACACCTAGAAAACGGAAGAGAGAATTCTCTGTAACGCCTTCAAGGGAGATGCACGAAGGCGAAGAAAATTTGGACAGGCAGTTACGGGAGATGACCCTACGCGAAGAAAATTCCCAAAGGCAGTTAAGTAAGATGCAGAAACACGAAAAAATTTTGCAGATCCGGTTACGGGGGATGCAGGAAACCGTAGAATACTCGCACACGCTATGGAGGGAGATGGGTCACCGAAAAGAATATTTGCTGAGTCACTTACGGGAGTTGCTCCAACGTGAGGGAATCACAGAAAGGCAAACGAATGAGATTGTGGAACGTCAAAAACGCTTACAACTGCAATTGAGAGAGATACAATACCAAAACCAAGTATTTCAGAGTCAGTTATGGGAGATGCCCCAAAGCAAGAAAAACCCAGAAATGCAAAGGCAGTTGAGGGAGATAAAGCAACGAGAAGAAATTTTACAGAGGCAGGAACGGGAAATACACCATCGTGAGGGAACCTCAGAAAGGCAAATGAGTGCGATACAGCAAAGTGAAGAAAACTCACAAAGGCATTTGAGCGAGATAGAGCAAGGCGAAGAAAGTTTGCAGAAGCAGTTGAGGGAAAAGCACGAACACCAAGAAAATGTGTATACACAGTTAAGAGAGATGAACCGAGGCGAAGAAAATTCAGAAAGGCAAATGCGTGAGATGCAGTCAGGAGATATGCTCCAACTTGAGGAAAGCTTAGAAAGGCAGTTTATTGAATTGAGGAGGGTGGTCCAACACGATGAAAATTTGGAGAGAGAGGTGGGGAAGATACTTCAACTCAAAGCTGACTCAGAAAGGAAAATGGGTGAGATGCAGGAACGTCAAGAAAGGTTACATCTACAATTGAGTGAGATACAGCACCAAAACCAAATATTTCAGGATCAGTTATGGAAGATGCTCCAAAGGAAGAAAAACCCAGAAAGGCAAATGAGTGTGACACAGGACCGTGAAGAAAACTCAAGGGAAAAAGAGAAATTAAGGTATCAGCCACCCTTAAAATTGCCATTTTTCCATGTTTGAGATTTCAACGTTTTCAAATAGATATACTTGAGAGCTTTCTTTAAAAAAGAAATCAGACGAAAATATTATTTCTGTCGAAAGATATCGGGGGTAAAAGATTTTTTCTCGTTAACTATCTTAATTGATCGTTGACAAGATCTGTCATACCCGTGTCATATATCAATTAACTTGCCTGTGAACTAGTAACGTGATACCGAGTGCGTGCTTCGACACAACACGTGCGAATAGTCTTCGCGTTGTTTATAGCCTTTAGTATTCTCCGTGGATATTTAGCGTTTGCTTCGGTGAAAATGCTGCCAAAAAAAAAAAAAGAAAAGAAAAGCTCGTGTCCGTTTTCGTCATCGAAACCGAGAGCGAAAAGGAAATCGAAGAGCGAGTTTGACAAAGAATGGTCCGCAAAATTGGCAGAGAGCGACAAAGGCTCATTTTATCAGCAAGAGAAGTTGCTGCAGTTGCTGAGAGTGCAAGCCGCTCCAAAATCCAGCTTGAAGAGCCAGATGAAGAAAGCCAATTAAGCTCATCGACCCCATCTGCTGATGGAACGTGGAAAACAATAAGCGGTCGAGCTATCGTATCGAGCGAAAAGCTGCTTGAGAAACTGGACGAGTCTGTATCTTGTCGATTTTGCCAGGTAAGAGTCCAAGTCATGGAAAATGTAGCGACTAAGCATGGACTTGGTTCTACCCGGAGAATCCAGTGCGAGAATGAAAGCTGTCCGTCGCACAAGACAAATTCTGTTTTTAATTCTTCCGAGAAGAGCAGAGCGTTTGAAATATACCGGGCCTCAGTTCTTGGCCTTAGAGCAATCGGTGGTGGACATTCGGCGGCTTCAAAGTTTTTTAGTTTCCTTGGCCTGGTGCCGTCAACAAAAACGCCTCGGCGAATCATACAAAAAAGATCGAAGGAGAGGCAAAACTTTTGCTCGAGAAAGAATTAAACCGTGCTTCTCGTGGTGTAAAAGAGTGGAAGTTTTCCAACGGAGAATTAAACTGTTCACTTGAAGATGTTGATAGCAATAAAAAGTTCGTTCCTGTTACATGTCACCTGTCAAAGTCCTATTGTTAGAGAAAATTGATCCCTCTCTGATATCAATCAGAATAAACATTTAGGTGTTATAATCTCATTCCAGGTAGGATGCCGCCAAAAATGTATTTTCTATTTTATCTCCGAACGCAAATTTTGCCGATCGACTCGTACGTTTTAAACTCCAAGTCGGCAGCCTTTCAATCAATTTGGCTAAAATTTGGCCAGAGTGATGCCATATATCTCTTCTACAAAACCGTGTCTGCGAATTTTAATACTCCTTTTCATTTTAAAGCTAGAGCTTTTTTTCCACAGGGAGTGTTGACTAATTGCCTTCCCCAACTTCAGTTGCTAATAAAAGGAAACAAACGCACTTGTCAAAAATCTGAGACACGGTTTTTTAGTGGAACGTGTTGAGAAGCGAATGCGGTGTTAATTGTTTTCTTCCGTTTATTTCCGGCGGGAGTGGAACATGATTTATAGAGACGTGTACTTTTACACAAAGCGTTCCAATTTCGAAACACATTTAAGTAAATCGTTTTTGTTAGTTCAAATCCATAATCTGGAATTATTAAGCTTTTAAAAAATATATGGTTTAGAGGGGTTTTTATACAAACAACTAACGCTACAGCGATCCGCGCGCGGACGGGCCTGAAGGGTGGCTGATACCTTAAGTAAACTAACAACAGCTCAGCAAACAATAAGTGAAATGCGTCGGCGGGAAACAAGTGACTGGGTAATAGCCCGTAATGAAATTCATGTAACAGACAAATGCGTTGGTAAGGGAGAATGGTGTGTTGTCTATGAAGGTGTGTATTGCGGCTCTTCTGTAGCAGTGAAACAATTCCATGACTTTCTTATCACCCCCTATGACGTTCCTCTTTTTGAAAGAGAAATGAATATTGCATCGAAGTGTCGTCACCCTCATTTACTTCGGTGTTATGGCGCCACGAATGATGAAGAAAATCCTCTGAGTGTTTTCGAACTGATGGACATAAGTCTGCGGACTCTTTTGGAGCAGCGACAACTTTCGGAAACAGAAGTATCTCTCATTTCTCTAGATGTAGCTCGCGCGCTTAATTACCTTCATCAGAAGAAACCAGTTCCCCTTATTCACCAGAATGTCAGCAGTGCTAATGTGTTGCTATGGCAAAAGGATGACCAATGGAGAGGCAAAGTCTCAGGTTATAGCTGTGTAGATTTCATGCAGGAGACCATGATAGTGGCTCCTGGAAATACGATGTACAGCGCACCGGAAGCTTTTACTCCAAGCTATACAGTCAAGGTTAGTTTTCATTGATTTTAGAATGTATTGATTCAAGATTGTTTAAACAACACCTATTGCACTTAAGAGGTGTGATGGTGCAGTCATAATCAGCCTGTCGGACTTCAAGGCCTGGGGCAAGTTGTGGGAAACCCAAAGCCAGACGTAGGGGATACACTTTTGCTTTAAAGGAAAGACTTTGACAGGGCTGAACGTTCGGCGTTGACTGTTACGATCCACGTTAAGATTTCTGCAACTGTCCCCCTAGTCACTCCATTTCTCGTAAAAGGCAAACAGTGCTTCCCACTGACCTTCCTACCTTGGTGTAAAATTTGTTAACTTTATATTAATACTGAATTGGTTAACCTTGCAACATCCTTTATGCAGTAAAGTAGCAATACCCCTGGTCGCTCAAGCCCTAGTTTTAGTCAAACTTAACTGAAGTCGCGAACGTTGCTTAAGTCTGCTATACACACACACACTCTATTATTAACAACTGACATTTACATAAAGGCCATTTCCGCCCGCAAATAGTAGGTTCTAGTCGAGGCGGGCGGAGATAACAGGGGAAAAACAGTCAGTGATAAATTACAAATAAATAAAAAACTTATATATATATATATATATATATATATATATATATATATATATATATATATATATATATATATATATAAGTAAATAAGGCTTACGTAAATAAGGCTTAAACGTAAATAACTAACATCTACAAAATAAACCACTTCTAACAGTTACTGGTAAATAATATTGATTTAGCCTGGGCTAAAAGCGAAGCTCCCGCTAATAAATTTATGTTTAAATCAATCAATAAACTTGTAATCACAAATCAGTTAACTTAAGAGCACATTAATATTCATCTGAGGGAAAGGCTAGGTGATTTTAAAGAAAAAAAGAGTTTGCAAACAGTTCAATGTAGGTTTAAACAAATTTTCCATCGAGTCAATAGTCTTATGTACACCCAAAAAATAGCAATCATCTTCGATCACAGTAGATTAGGCCTAGAAAACATATTATTCCTAAACAAAATAACTCACTTACACACCGATACACCACCTTGTTATTTTATAAGGTTAATTGGACAGCCCGAAATATAACTTTATGCTATAGAGACCGATTATAAGACGCGATAGTCTTCGTTAGCAGCCAATTTACATGTTGCAGTTTCTAGGTTGCATTTCTTTGTCAAAAGGGAGCCCAAAATAGAAACAAAGTCAGGCAGGAATTTTTTGTGTTCGATAAATTTACTTTACAAAGTCTTGCCGACAAATCTGGTGGCGTGTAAACGAGCCTTATATACTTTGTATACATCACGTCTGAGATACACAGTACTATGAGGCTCTGTTTTGTTTTAAACAGACCTCGGACAGAATTATTTTTTTCTTTTATGCCAAACCTATTGCAAGAAAAATTGCACTCATTCAGTATTCAGGGCGATCGAAGCACGCGCTTCCTTTGGACAACAAATAGAATTGACTACATTATAGCGGAGCCTCCGCGCGCGCGAGCGTGGAGCTCCATACTTAAAGGGACAGGTTCACGGTTCAGCGCATGCTCATTAATTAAATTACGTTTTTCCAATTTATTGTTAATTCTATGGGTTAATAATCCCACTCACATGTATCTCAGCGATCTCAGAGTGTATTTCAAAGAAGAAGTGTATTTCAGAGTAACCTGAAGTGGGATGGAGGAGTACTAAAATAGCAGAAAAAATAGTGGATTATGCCAACACTACCAACTTTGAATTTATTGACCGGAGGGTTTTAATCCATTGTTGATTAATTTACAGCTATTTGCACCTAAGTTGAACAGGTAACTGCCAGGGGAGTGTGCAGATTGGTTCTTTGACAAAATTATGACATGATCATATTCCTTTCATAGACGATACAGCATGTCCCGGCAGAAAAATAGCATTTTGATTAACGAGCATGCGCTGAACCGTAAACCTATTCCTTTAAGAGAAAATGGTAAACTATCCATCCACGAAAATTTGGTTATGACGTCACCGTACGTCCATTCGTTCGTCCGTACGGACTCTCGGGTAGAGGTAAGTACAAACGAATTCCTCCCCTCTCCCTTAGAGAGTTTTGTCCCCTATTGTTTCAAAAGGGTTCAGAAATAATTGGCAAATCAGAGTCTATCTATTGAGCTAATGTTTGGTGGATTTTAGCGGCTGATAATTTGACTTTTGAGGAGGTTATGGGTGATCTCAGAAAAAAATATCCCCTAGACTGGTTTCGAGGGGGGAAAGTTTGCAAGGGGTGTACCTGGGAAAAATAATATCCTGCATTGAAAAAATTTCCCTCTTGACGAATATAATGCTTGAAAAAAAATTTTACACCGTTTTATGTCTGGGAAAAAAATTCTAACTCCAGAGGTTTGGGAAAAAAATTCTTACCCAAAGAATATCATCAATGCCCCCTCCCCCACAAAAGTCAAATGGGCAACCACATGGGGATTGGGGAAGAAGCAGGCGGATTTGACACCTTAGTAGATATCATCCGTCAAGAAAATGGCTGGCGCGCGTTCATCATGTGGTGGTTTACAAGACTATAGTTTTGTATTTCAAGATTGAAAATACGCTGATAAAAGACACAAGTGGGGAGACAAAGTTTAAAAGAATGCTCAGATTCCTTTTTGTGAGCAAACGAGAGCTTTTCGGTATTAAATTGTCTTTCAAGGAATTCAGCCTTGTCTTCTTCACGGCGGACCAGAGCGCTTGGCTTTTTTGAACCAACCGAGGTAGCGAGGTTTCTGAAGAAACTTAAGGTACATTCTGGTTTCATGGACGTTTTCTACATTTTGATATCGGCGTGAAAGGAAAACCACAAAATGTGCATTTGA